TCCCAACCCCAAATGGAGGGCCCAAGTTGGCCCATGCCTGTTCTACCACAAACTTGTATGAAGTTTGCCATATAACCCAGAATATCAAAGGCAGATAATCCGCAATATCTGCTTTGAACTGGGTTATCTGAGTCCACAATGCCATATAATCCAATTCAACACGGAATTTATACATCTGTGTGGAAGGGGCCTTAGACAAGCTAGACCCAAGCCCTCAAGCAGGCCCGTAGCCAGGATTTCGTTTCGGGGGGGGGGGGGAGCCGATTTCATTTCGGGGGGGGGCTGAGTTTCGGGGGGGCTGAGTCTGAGTGAAAGAGGGTCTAGCCTAGCAAACCTTTTGTATTATTACCCCAATACCCCCATGCATATGGGATATATTGAGTATGGTGATCAGATCATGATATGAATAAACATAACAGTTTAAATAATGCACCAGTAAGGCCTTTTCGCGAACCACCATGAGAATTTCGGGGGGGGGGGCTGAAGCCCCTCAAGCCCCCCCCCCCCCCCGGCTACATGCCTGCCCTCAAGGGCTTTAGAGTTCATCCCCAGCGCTTTTAATTGCGCCAGGAAGCAAACCAGAAGCCAGTTTCAACACAGGAGTCGCATCTTCTTCTATAATCCTGCCCCAGTCAGCAGTCTGGTGGTGACATCTTGGACCTGCTCCAGTTTCTAAACAGGTTTCGAAAGCACTGCATGAGAGTGCATTACATTAGCAAACATTACAGCATGACAATAAGTACTAATTAGTATTATTTACAGATATGAATGACTACTAGCGTTTCAAACTTCACAGATCAATGATGGACAGTTTCGTATTCAAGTCACATGCAGAAAATTATTGAAAATATGGAGCGTTAAATGACCTTTTTTGCTATATGTATATATTAAAGAATTACATGTTTAAACTTGAATTTGGGAGAAAATATCCTAAATACACTTCTAGTCTGCAGGAATTTCAGATGACGGATACTAAATCTATATTAGCTTTAGAAAGCGATATGATTTAGCTAAAATTGTGACAGTGAGGAAATGAGTAGTCTATGCCTGAATCTATACTACCATTTAACACTGTTTAACTGCATTAGATGATCAGTGTAGACCCATATAATACATTTTGAACAGCATTATATGGGTCTACATCAGTGGTTCCCAACCTTTTTTTGACCAGGAACCACTTTGACCAGAGACCACTCTCCAACATCAGTACCAAAATGGCTATGAATCAGTTTTTGGTCAACTTTAGAGTCGGTTTGGTTATTTGGGGTGCTGATTCAGAAAATTGCATTGGATAGACCACATCAGTTCTAGTTTCTGATACAGAACATATTCCATCCAGTAGTTGCCATCTGTTCACCCACAAAAAAAAGATATTTAATAAGTATTGTTGAAGGCTTTCATGGCCGGAATCACTGAGTTGTAGGTTTTTTCAAGCTATATGGCCATGTTCTAGAGGCATTCTCTCCTGACGTTTCACCTGCATCTATGGCAAGCATCCTCAGAGGTAGTGAGGTGAGGATGCTTGCCATAGATGTAGGTGAAACGTCAGGAGATAATGCCTCTAGAACATGGCCATATAGCCCGAAAAAAACCTACAACAACCCATATTTAATAAGCCTCGGCACTATAAGAGGTTTCGCGAGACCAGTTGCTCTCGTTACAATGGTGTAGTAACCGTGAGGCTGCGGACCATATTTTAGTTCTTTTTGACTAATGGTGGTCCATGGACCACAGATTGCAAACCACTGGTCTACATTGACCATACAATCCAGTTCAAACTGCATTATATGGCAGCGTGGATGCAATTAAAGAGTAATGGGACTTGGAGATCCCATTATGGACTCATTTGCCATCTTTTCTCTCATACATATGGAGTATGCACTCTGATTACCATGAACTTGATGACATGTACCTGGCAATCAATGGGGTGACAGATGTCACAGCCAGATCGCCCTCACATCCATGGAGAGACAGCAGATTCAATCATATCCCACATGAAAAAAGACTATGTATCTGTGGTGCCCCCGAAGTCGAAAATCTGAACCACACTTTACATCACTGCAACCTAGATGAAAAAGAAAGGAAACAATGTATTGTCGAAGGCTTTCATGGCTGGAATCACTAGGTTCTTGTGGGTTTTTTCGGGCTATAGAGCCATGTTCTAGAGGCATTTCTCCTGACGTTTCGCCTGCATCTATGGCAAGCATCCTCAGAGGTGTGAGGTCTGTTGGAAGTAGGAAAAATGGGTTTATATATCTATAAATGGGTTTATATAAAGGAAACAATACTTATGGCCTTTTATTTGCAATAAAACAAGCTGGGATACAGCGGCCAAAACCTCATTTTTATTGGCTGGTCACAGATTTCATAGCTGGATGATTTTTCTAAAGGTTCAGGACCACAATAAAATCCATTTGAACTGGATTATAGGGCAGTGTGGACTCAGATAACCCAGTTCAAAGAAAATATATGGCTGTGTGGAAGGGCCTTCAGAAAAAATATGTAAGGATTCAATGACACCTGAGGTCCCTTCCTTCCACACAGCCATATTGTTGGGTTTCATTGAGCCTAACAGTCTGATTCCTGACACATATAATCCAGAATATCAAGGAAGATAATCCACGATATCTGCTTTGAACTGGGTTATCTGAGTCCACACTGTCATATAATCCAGTTCAATGTGGGTTTTATACAGCTGTGTGAAAGGGGCCTGAGGCCCCACCTGTACTGACTATTCAATGCTCTTTAAACTAGTTTTGAAGAAAGTGGTTTTGTTGTGTACAGGAGTCCACAGGAAATCCTGGAACCAATTTGAGGATGGTGATAACTGATAACAAAAATCACTAATGTGCGTTAAGGGCTTTTTTTCCATGTGCTTTTGTGGGAGTTTGTTGTCTGGCTATTGCAGTTTGAAGCTATTTCTATCTTCATGAAATGGTCAATTTTGATGGGGCCATAGGCCACCATTTCATTCAAGAGGCACTTAAGCAACAACAGCATGTCCATGAGAGATAACGCAAGGTGGTCATTACCCATTTGTTGCCAAAGCTGGAGTTGCTAAATGACCCTTCCACTGACAAATACAGATTGCAGTGTTGTTGTTCACGCCCACAGGTGACACATCCTATGGACTCACTCACGGTACACTCATTTTTGGGTGGTACAGTGCCCTGGAACCCAATGTGGACCAGGCACTCCTCCCTTGGATGTGTAGGAGTGAGAGAAGCAGAAACCTCTCAAGATGTTTAAAATCACCACATTTGAAGCCGCCAGGATATAAAGCGTGCTTTCAGTCATTGCTCAAGTCAGCAAATGGGGAAACTAATTAGTAGTAAATGGCTGCAGACTCTTAAACACAAAGACATTGGGGAAGGAAGATAATCATTTAGAGGTAGGGCGTGAGATGTCACAGATTAATGCAAATTGCATGGCTAGCTGGCAGGATTCCACTTCTCTGGCTATGGCTACATCCCAAAGTTGTTGTGCAAAATTGTGAGTCACAAAAGCAGGCCTGCAACTCCAGACCTAGGAGGAACCTATTCTCCTTTCTGACCTGCTTAGATTTATGCAAGCAACGTGGTTATTTAATGCAGTAGAAATAACTGGGTTTATCTTGGGCAACAGCCAGTATTTGGGAAAGTTATTTTTTCAGACACACTGGCTGGTGGATTCTGGAAGCTGTAGTCTAAACACTTTCCCAGGCTATACCAACCACCTATGCCATTAATTCCTCTTTATCAGATGAAAATAATGTTTACCTACAGAGAAATGCAATAAGCTGGTTTAGTCTCCGATGACTCCGATGAAAAAA